CACACACACACACACACACACACACACACACACACACACACACACACACACACAAAAATCCTACTATTACATTAGCCTTGTCTTCTTCACACGTATTAGTTCCAATCACCGTTATACATCCACATCCACAAATATGCCGGTAGAAACCTGTAGTATTGGAATTTTCTTCACATTGATCGTTTCGATGCCTTTTTCCTCTATTTTCTCCAATCCATTTCGTACTTGTTAACTATCCGCTATGCAGGAATACTTGATAATTTAAACTAGTAAAAGTAGACACAACATCAACACGGTTCATTCTAGATGTTAGGATAACAGCTCAAGTAATTCAGGCATAAATAACCTGTAAAATCCACGATAACTGCTCCTCGGTATCAATTTTGAAGCCAGCCACCGTCCCTGCACCTTTCAAATTCTCGGCAATTTCGCGCACCAACAGCTCGGCTACATTATCACCTGTTCCTCTGGGAATACAAAAATTTTACAGAGCATTAACATGCTCTTCATTTTAAGTAATGATTAAAATGGAATCTTACCAAATTAACACTTTTTTACTTCACTTTTTCTACGTATTTATAGTTTTTTAACCTTAAATTTCTAACATTTTCACAGAAACACAAAATGAAGGACGAGAATCACTAGAAACAATGTAAGCAGATTGGAAGTGCAGATGGCGAAGGTGCGAGGGAATTCAGGAGGAAAGAAATAGTGCAGGAGTGAGGGTAAGAGTGAGATAAGACGTTTCGGTCCATTAAGTCATATATGTCTTAACTCAACACTGCAACTGCACTTCGTCAGTATGACGGTCGTAGTGCTTAAAGAGGCAAAAGAAAGAAAGTAGGAGGAAACAGAAAAAAATAAACTATGGAGAAACATTAAAAAAACACATAAAAACGCCAAAAATTATAAAAAAAAAAAACGAAGCTTACTTTGAGAAGAGCGATAATGAAGATGTCTGTGCAGTGCTGCTCAGCGGAGTGAATTCGAGAAGCGGCCATTCCGCGTACAAACCCATTTTCAGCGGATAATCACGTGCACGTGTTATCTCATCCAGCCACTTTTATCACATCTCTTTGATGTACCATCAATCTGCAAGCATTTAGGAATTCGATACAAACGGAGGTAGCTGCTAAAACTCGCGTGGACCACGAGAAATACATGTGATTGCGGAGAAAACAAACTTATTATGCGTTCTGCGCTGTGTAACAGCAGTACAAAACGCATATTGCCACGGGTTTGTGTGTGTGTGT